CGGGGCTCAGAGGCGATATGCATATTCGAAAAGATAAACAGTGTTGAAAACGGTGTTTGATCTTGCAGGCTCGTGACTTCAATTGGCGTGTGAAGTTGTCATAATAATTCTGAAGCTGTCATGAATAATTCTGAAGCTGTCATGAATAATTCTGAAGCTGTCATGAATAATTCTGAAGCTGTCATGAATACTCATGAGGTGCTACCTGCCTCTTCTGATGACTCTTTAACCGCTGATATAATGTATTATAGGACGGAAGCACCGTATCAGCTGGTGTTGTGGAGAAACGGGGTCGCGGACGCCCCCGATTGTACACAACAGCTGATGAGCGCCGGGCAGCTAATACACTGAAACAATGCAATCGTCATGGAAGACTCAAAGCGTAGGAGACAATCGTGAATGTCAGAAATAGATTGTAGGCTAACATGACGTTGAATAAGAGAGATCGGGCTTGTATTGGAACCCCTGAATGCCGCAACCAAGGTATCCCCTACTCATTCAACGGGAACTCACAAACCTGAGCGGTAAGATGCCTCGCTAATAGGCAAGGCTGAATACTAAGGAATACTAAGGCAGGCCAAACCAGCACTACATCCGGTACCGTGAATGGCGCATTCAGGCACGCTAGAAATGGATGACGAATTCTCAGCTATGGAACGTTGGCCTGCCATCGGAGAGAACCCGAAGTGCCCCCACTGCGGCATCAATGTCGACGAGTATGCATGGCTTGCATCGAGATGCATGGAGCTGGAGGACGATGTTCAGAGACTTCGAACAGAGATCTCAACGGGCGCCTTAGTTTAGTTTACTTAACCAGAAGTTACTGCCCAGGTTCCGGGTGTTTGTTGGGGGGAGCTGAAAATACATTATGTTGACACGTTTTAGCCATTATACATCATGCGTGCAAACGGACAGAGCATGGGCCTGGACGTACAACGATAAAAAGAAAGGAAAAACTAACAAGAGGAGATAGGGGAGGGCGGTAGCGCCGATACAGAAGATGTGAAAGCCCAGGTTAGAAAGAGAAGAACCCACTTGTAGATGACAAAAAGGAAGGGCGGTCACAGCACAAACTCATTCGGGGCCCAACTTGCCGAAACCCACCGAAGATAGCGTCTTCACCATTGGCAAGAATGAATGACTTACTGTATCACACGGTGAAAGGCGAGGTAGGAGAGAAGCAAGCCAACAAAAGAACAACACGCTCTGAGGAAACACGGGAAAAACTAAAAGGTACAAGATGTAAGTTAGCATAATGAACATAAAGAGAGAAGTTAAGCCAAAACGTACAGGAGATGCGGGGAGATCGCTGCGACGGGGTTTACAAAGTAGGAAGTTCACCCATTACACGCTTGGTGATGCGAAATGGTCCAGCTAGAGGTTACAGGCTTATATGACGGATGTCACTGCACCTCGTGCAGACGTCGAACGCCCCAGCTCACTGTTCATGAAACCAGATGGCACACCGTTCGAAATTTTGAGCATTTTGCAGTGAGGATGGTTATGAAGTGTGGTTTCGGGCCGATCTGGATTTTGAGCATGTGGACCGCTCAAAAGCTCCGGAAGGGACGATGTCCTACAGGTGTACACATGTCCGTTTCATGCAGTGTTGCAGGAACGAGAGCGGCAAGAAGTCCCCCAATACAGGCAACCTTCTGAATAACTTCACTTAAACGAGCATAGTACCATGTAGCACCACCAAATTTATACTCGCCTACCACTTCCTGCAGTTCAAGTCACCAAAAGACGATTCAGATGGATTGTCTTCCACTTCGCCTGCCTCGACATGCTTGTGGAGTACTGGAATGTATGTCCGCTTAATTGGGAACGCGAGCTGTTTTCGTACCGATTACAACTGACAGTTCTTCAAAATGACGGAACATAAGCCAAGGAGGTTAAGAGTGCCTCCTGGCGTCCCATGTCATCGTTTCCAGGTTGCTGCTACCTGGCATCGGCCTAGAATGCTTGACTCTTGACTGGTGCATCAAGTATCTTATTAGGAGAGGCTCAACACCGGCATACATAAACTCCGCTAGTCAGTTAAATCTATTTTTTCCTGTTCATTATCTAACACTAAAGGAACGTCCGTATGATCAATTCCAAGCTGGGCATAATCAATGGGAAAGTTTGCGGCCACTTTAGCGGCTCGGCACCACAGTTCACAAATAAGGTCAGGATTTAGGGTTCTCCAGGTAGGCTGCCAGCTCGGTGTTAACAGAGGAATAGAAAGGATTTGGTGTTTCACCCTATCCTGAAAATCATCGATGTTCGTGTCTTTCGGTGCAGCATCGAGCCCGATGTGTACAGCTTGAATGTCAGCCATGGTCCAAACCCCACAATCATACCTGTTCCATTGGCGCTGTTCCATCTAGGACTTGTAATGTATATGATGTTCATACAGCAAGATGGCACACCTACAGTGATTACTCTGGTGGACCAATTGGACCAGTTGTATCCATGCTCATCATCAGGGTGAATGAACAACCAGATGGCATTAACTAGGCCTCGAAGTATCTGAAGAAAGCAGTAACATTAAGACTGGAATGTGGGCTAGAATTAGGAAACGCACTGTAAACACCCACTGTGGACCGTGGCGATTGATATGGGCGCTTTGTTGTAGAGGTATGCTGTCAAGATAGCGCAGCTCTCGTTGTTCGAAGTTGACAACACCGAGCAGCCAGTGACCACGCCTCCTTGAGTAACACGGAATCGTCCAACTGGTTGCATCGAAAAGATCGGTTCGGACTTTCTTTGTCGCTCGCTAAAATATTGGTCAGTACAGATTCCATCGGTGTATTCCCACATACATCCAACAGGCGAACTGCCATACAATGTCTCATTCCTTCACACTGGGTAGGAAACATAATCACACGGGGATGAGTGGTCTTGAGTATGTCCCGCAGCTTTTCGTCTGTAAGGTCTTTCAGCATCTCAACATAGGCATCGATTATTGCTCCGTGTATCAGCCGCCGGCGATTGACTGTTGGTAGTGCATCAGAGAAGATCGCAATATGTTTGTAATATCTTGCTTTGTCTCTGGTCTTGCTGTCGTTCACTATCTAATGAGACATCAGTGGCGTCAGTCACAGGGGAACTTGGAAACATTCTTACTTTTTCAGTCTCTTGAGGTAAATGCAACTCCGTTATTTCCTTCCAGATTTTTGTTGGCTTTTGTTGTTGGGTAGACTGGGTGGGTGAGTGGATGGCATCGAAGATTGTTCTAATTGGAGGAAGGCTTTGGGGACGAGGGTTCTCATTCCAGAACCTCTCCTCAATATCCTCGTCACAGCTGGGACTATCCACATCTCCGAACCCACTAGGAGGGACCAAGTCGGTAAGAGGCTCAGCATGTGTTTCGACATTGTCTGTGGGGTCCATTGTCTCATCTGGCCATGTCTCAGGTTCGCTATCTGGAAGGTTTACCAGCATCTCAGGGCCGAGAGTATCGCCTGGGCCACTGCCACTGTTGGTAGACAGGTAGGGCTCAACATGCTCATCGTCATCAGCTACACCCAGCTCTGGGCTCATCCTGATAAGTCCATCGAGTGCGCTTAGCTCGTTTCTAACTTGAGAATCATCTTCGGGGTCTATGCCGTTGGTTCCTGAGGCCAGAGTGGCAGAACCGGGGGGGGGAAGGCGGAAAGAAGAATACTCCACGGTACTCGGTGCAGCTTGGGAGTCTGGACGTTTTAGGTTTGCTAGCAGATAGTGCGGTGATGCACGCCATAGATTGACATGAGGAAACGGTCCGTTCACGATCGTATCACAGCATTTGAGTAATGACTTTAGGCGGAGTTGCCATCGATATTTAAACAGGGCTGGGATCGAGGACAAATCAGCGCATTGGTAATGTGGAATTTGTAGGACATACGATGAATATCGTCCGTGATCTGAATCAACAAGTCTACCGATTGGACAATCCAGGTGCACGTGTTAAGTTCCTCTCGAGCGAGCCTAAGCTTTTCCTCCTCAATACGAGCAAGCGATAGCACCGCTACTATGCCATGGCGAACCTGTTGGTCGACGATAAAAGCTGGTGGTTTCTCATCCAAGTTCCAGTTGGAATCCCACAGGCTCTCCCACATCTTTGTCCACTGTTCATCACTGGGATCCATGTTAAGCAGCTCCTTGACATTCATTTTGGCGTGTTTCAAAGAGTCCGGGAGCCAGGATGGCCTAACAGAACGCTCGAGGCGGTCGACAAGCTTGTTATATTGCGCAACATGGGCGGAAATAATACAGGCACGGTCGTTTGCGCTATTGAACACTGAGACCATTTTCGAATATCCTCAAAGTACCGGATGAATTTTCGAGCACATCAGAATTCGCCTCAAATGGGGTATGCTTACCGACTTTTGTAACCAGCCGTCCTCCACACCGTTGTGAGCTCCGAATAGGGTTAATCTCGTCCTGGTACTTGGCTAAGCGGATAAGGATGGCATGTTTGCGGAATCGGGCCAGAATGTACTTCTCCATGTAGTCCCTTTCTGTGCTAGACGGATTTTGCGGAAGTTTCAAATCGGACAGGCCAATTTGAGCTGTCAGATCGCGTAGGCATTCTTGAGATTTATCATGCAACGATCGTACACGCTGAGCGGCTTGGAAATGCTCCATGAGGTCGATAGGACTATGGGACAGTGTTCGTGCCAAGCTGATTCGGTCCAGCTCCTTCTTTACGGTGTCCAATGCGTCCGAATGTGCCTGGGCTGATCGTTCGGCTTCCAAAAGTTTGGCGAACTTTTTCATTCCGGCTTGATCATTGTCTAGGGCATAACAGCATAAGTCAACGCCGAACATGAGATCGGGAATGGGCATACAGGCTCGAACAGAGAGCTGCAAAGACTTTTGCTCTTCCCACTGGGATTGAAGGAAAGGAGTTGTGAATCCCCTCTTACTCTTCAAATCTTGCAGGAGGTCGGTTAGAAGCGCCTCCTCACAAACAATGGCGGCCAATTTGGACCTAGCCAATGAAGCAAGGCGGTCTCGGCCACAGCACGCAATCATCTTGATTTTGTTGTCGATAGTTGTGATTCGTTTTGCCGGCTATAGTTTTGGGACAACATTGCATAAGAGAGGGTTGTCGACCGAACAGTGTTGGGACTCACACTCATTATGCGTTCAGGCACAATTGTATCAACAATCAAGGACCATAATCGCTCATTTCCTTCCCTGTTTGACTTTCTGAACCCATTTTGTTTCCAGGGGTGAAATGCGATTTGACAACAGAATTGATGTGCGTAGGCATGGAAGACTGAAACGGCGATGCTCAATCTAGGAGTGATTTCGGGGATAAGATTGTACTTTGTTCAAATATCAGAGGTTGTAGTTGCAGACCATGCGAGGCCATACCTTGGCGATCGATCGATCAAGAACACACCCAACATCATACATTAATCCAATAGTGGCGTTTGAGGGTAGTTGGCGGCTAAGTGCAAGGAGCATGGCAATCGAAAAGTGCTGCTGTTCACCTGGAGTGCGTACATCGCAGAGGAAAAGGGGGATGTCATGACGGCATACGGTTGTGTCAGGGCAATAGCCCCGAACCCCGAGTCACATGTAAACTAGATAGATATAGTCACGTGGACAAGCGGGAACCTCCGGGTAACCGCTTACACACCACCGTAAAATACATCATCTTGTATCACTTACGGCTTTGTGTGCTGAGCAACCCCAAAGACCTCACAGGTTGTCATCAGGCCCTTCAAACGGAAGGTATCCGTTTTTGAGGCTGACTGCTTTCCACGTTTCGTGGCTCTGTGTGATTCTTCGCATTCATCAATAGCACCATCTGGTACAAGGGATGAGGGACGAGATACTTCCGAACAGCCTCTAGATGCAGCTCATGCATCAGAGATATGGCAGGCAGCTTCCTCGATTTCGGCATCGGTGAGGAATGTGCAAGTTTCATTCCAGGGAAGAATCATCTCTCCTCCAACGAACATGTATTGCTTATGTTGCATATTACCATCCATGGCGACGATGACATCAGGATATCTAGGGAATTGCTTAGTATACCTGTTCCCGAAGCATATGTATGAGAGGACTAACTCGTTGGCTGAGTTGCCCCACATCGAGCCTCCAAAACATTGCGGGCATCTCACACGGAGGTATGGACTTGCGCTGCTGTCAGACGGGTTGCGAATCAGCTATGTTCGCTCATGGACCATCGATGGAAGGTCCGGTGACGTCCCTATGGAGGTTGGGATGCTGTTAGAATGGGGCGGACTCGGACGACTCCGGAATGGAATCGGAGACTTAGCATGGAAGGACCTCGGCCTCAGCGACTCAGGCGGAGCGCTGTGCCATTGCTGGTTGTCCTGGGGGTCCCTAATTTCGGATCTAGCAGAGGGAAAGTCTCTTGGGGGGAATTCCAGTCGATTTCGGACTGAGGTTACAAGTTACTAGGTACATTGTATATAAGGAGGGGTCCGGAATCAAAAGGAACAAGGGTAGGACAAAAGGAGACAAAGGGAGATGGAAAGAGGAACAACACCGAGGGTCAAGTGTTTGACTCAATGGTGTTTCCCAAAGGAGGAATGAAGGGCCAAGGCCCAAGGAGGAAGGAAGGAGGTTGGGAGTTGTCAGAGACCAGATTTAAGACGAAGGAATGTCTCCATAACGGAGGGCTTTGGCCTCAGCGACTTCTGCCAGGAGCGCTGTGCCTAGTGACACGTCCGTGCCCTAACTTACTGACTGGCACTTAGAACCTAGTGGGGGTAACTCTAGTTGATTTATCTGCTGGGGCGTAACCTATGTACAAGTAGTGTATATATATGGTTACAGCGGAGACGGTTCCGCAATTGGCGGAGCCGGACGGAGCGGAGCTAACGGGGTTAAGACATTAGCCGACTGAATATTACCGACGAGTCGGTTCGCGGGGTTAGCGGAAAGGCAGGCGTTAACCCAGAAACGGAAAGGAGGGATAAGCCCGAAGGTGGACTCTGCAGGGCAGGCGAGTGTATTGCCCAGCGGAGGCGGGAGTGCGCTAGCGGACGTCGGAGCTGTCCGGAAGTCTTCGGGGCTCCGTACTTAGGGAGGCGTAGGTAATAAATTGAAATGAGGGGGTGGTGACCATCGAGGGGTACCGGGAGGTTTGCGGAATACAGGGGCTCCGAGGTTGGTGAGGGGGGAGCGGAGTTAGAACGGAGGGGTCGGAGAGCCCGGAAGTCGATGGCCGGGAATGGATATGACAGGAGTGGGGAATGGCTAGCTGACTGAATAGAAAGGAAGCGGCAGCCCAAATAGGAATGAGGGAGAATAGCGGAATTGAAATGGACAATGCAATAGTTGCAAGGTCCGGAGTAAGTCCGGAAAGTCCGAACTCGGAGGTTAAACTCCGGAATATTGGCAAACATAATTAAATGGAATGAGCTAACCAATACAATGGGTATAAGCGGAGGTGGGGTCAAAGTCCGAGGTCGGAGCTAAGACCGGAGGTTCCGGAGACGGAGACGCAAACGGGATTCCGGAGCAGAGGTCCGGAGTCGGGAGCATAGGTTTTGCGTACTCGTCTGGAAGGTGTCGAGGTTGGGGTCGGACCCGGAATGTTCCGGAGTCGGACCGAAGGTGGTGTCTGAGCCGGAGGTGGGATAACCTCTTGGGAGTCGGCAAGGAGAAGGTGACGGAAGGGAAGTAGGGCTCCGGAAGTCGGAGTTCGGAGTTCCGGGAGCCCGGAGCGGAGGTCAGGATTGTATGGATATGACAGATGCCGTGGTTAACGGTCATCACGCCATGGGATGCAGTGACCGATGGATCGCCGTTGTGGGCAGGAGCGACATGGGTAAACGCAGCGGACTCGACCGGCGCGGAACGACATAGCGGTGCATTGGGTGCCACAGGGGATGTGGGTAGGAGAAACTCTCTCTCCGTTTCAACCTCTACCGAGTCACATAGGGCTTGAAACCATGTTATCGCCTTGCTAAACGACTGCAGAAAGGGGTCCTATATGTGCGCCGGATCATGAAGGTGCCAATTCCCGACATGCAACAAATAGATCTTACGTTGTGGGTGAATTCGTAACCATTCTCTCGTAACATGGCAAACAAAGTGGCATGAAAGGAGGCAATCGGGGTGTACGAGTCCACATGCAAAGCTGAATACAGCGAAAGGACATCGAAATGAAAGGCAACTTGGGGCGTTACAGGTGACCCTGGAAAGTAGCCAGACTGGATGATGCTAAGCGGGAGAGTATTGGACGGACATTTGCAATATTCGAACGTCCGCCACGTGGCACCTGGCTCGGGGTCATTGGGACACTGCTAAGGGAGGTCAGAATGCAAACGTACCTGAGAATGCGATCGTCATGAGTGAATGAAACTGGAAAGATGTATTGCAGTGGGAGCACAGCGATGCTGCTGGTGTTTGCAGTTTTCCGTTTCTATCATACGACGTCTCGCTGGGGGCGGCAAGGGGCACGCATCCTGCCTTCTTTGCCTCTAGACCTAGATAGATTTCCACCGCTTTGTGTATTACATCACGGCGCCAATGGAGCCATGCAACTTGCTTTTGCGGATTTCGTAATGCTCTCTTGGCCCACTTTCGGGAAGCTGACCGCAACAGTGTAGGGGACAGAGCAGTGTCTGGGCCCGAAGGAGTGGGCTCTGCGATATTTTCCAGCCAACCCTGAGGGGATGCTTCCCATATTGGTGATTCCTTTTTTAGAGCTGGCATTGAAGGGGGAGTCGAAACATTGCTGGCATCCGCCGACATTGCATTTCCTACGTGATCGTGGCGATTTGGCACCTGCCACCAATGCATAGGCTCAATGCCAGGCCCCCAGCGTTGCATCATCACGGTGCTGCTGGCATTTGCTATCTCAACGCGTCATGACGGCTGGGAAATAGGGACTTCAGCGGCTGGGACGTGCTTATGTCCTTTCTTTTTGGACGTTGAGGGTTCGGATTCAGGTGCAGATTGGGGGCCAAGGAAATCGGCATATTTTTTAGGTCTTTTTAAATTATATGGCTGATATTTTTTCACAGGCGAAGTAGTAAGGGGTGGAATTACAGGCTTATGCCTCGGCATGGGAGTAGCTGCTAAAGAAACTAATGGGTTCGGGTCAAAGGAGCAGAACGGGATAGGTCTCCCCCAACAAGTGTGGGTATATCGGCCGAGTTACACCGGTAGCCGACCTGTAAGAGAGACATGCACTCAGCTGCATATTCATGTGTGTAGCTGCAGTACATACCAATAGGAACAGACACCAAACGGGGCGATTTGCGGCGAAGAAGGGCGATTACTGGTGCTCGCTCGGCGCTGAGGAATATATGTATAGCACGGGCACTGGTCTTATAAAGGTCTTTGGGTATTGGATATTCAGTGGCAGGCAGTGGCGAGGGCACACGTCGGGTTGAAGTCCCAGCCCAACTGTGCCATTTCTGATGTCGCTTTAGCGCTGATTGAGGGGTGCATGGTTGCTGGACAGCGGATATGAATACGGTCCCACTGATACGGATTGGACAAGAGGATAGTGCGCGATACGAGAGTGTAGAGGATCGTGGCGAACACCCAACAATTCTGAGATCTTTTGCACCCGTTCGATGACAAAAGACGACGCACACAGCGTTTGTCGCCATTTTAGGGATGTATGAGCGCAGGTGGCGAGATCTGAGGGTCAGTGCGCAAGCAAGCAGGGAGGGGAATTGCGTGTCAGTGCGTAATGCAATACACCGTTTGGGTAAGATGATTTGATGGGGGCCTAGGAAGGTGTATGTATGACACGAAATCGGAGTGGGAGATCGGCTTTTGCAGCGGGTGGCCCAGACGAACCAAACAACTGCGAGTACCAGGGGTGCGTGATTGCTGGACAGCGGATAGCGAATATGAATACGGTCCCACTGATACGGATTGGACAAGAGGATAGCGCGTGGTGTAGAGGATCGTGGTGGATACTCAACAATTCTGAGATCTTTTGCACCCGTTTGACGCCCATTCGATGACAGAAGATGACGCACAGAGCGTTTGTCGCCGTTTTAGGGATGTATGAGCGCAGACAGCGAGATCTGAGGGTCAGTGCGCAAGCAAGCAGGGAGGGGAATCGTGTGTCGGTGCGTAATGCAATACACCGTTTGGGTAAGATGTTCTGATGGGGGCCTAGGAAGGTGTGTGTATGATACGACTGGACAGCGGACAGCGAATATGAATATGGTCCCACTGATACGGATTGGACAAGGGGATAGCACGTAATACGAGGGTGTAGAGGATCGTGGCGAACACCCAACGGTTCTGCTCGCTGAGATCTTTTGCACCCGTTCGATAACAAAAGACGACACACAGAGCGTTTTAGGGTGTATAAGCGCAAACAGCGAGATCTGAGGGTCGGTGTGCAAGCAAGCAGGGAGGGGAATTGCGTGTCGGTGCGACCGTTTGGGTGAAAGATTTTGATGGGGGCCTAGGAAGGTGTATAGCTGTCGATGTATGGCACGAAATCGGAGTGGGGGATCGGTTTTTGTGGCGGGTGGCCCAGACGAACCAAACAACCACGAGTACCAGCAGTGCTAGGTGCAACCTCCGGCCCTCTGCAGGTGTCTCCACGGACAAGCCCCAAATCCTCGCGCAGAATATACAGAACGGCCTGGAGAAACCGTTACTCTACGTAGACAGTGTACTCAGAGGGCTGGGTTGATTGGGGGGATCCCTGTCGTTAACCATGGTGCACTAGCAACGCGCTAAGCGCCTCCAGTGGATTTCAGTTAAATACAAAGAGTGGTCCTTTTTAATGATATCTATAACGAGATTGGAGGCGAAGGTAGTGCGTTCTGTTAGGTGCAGGGCTGGGAATGATGCCAATGACGGATTTCGAGCTTACCGAATATGCCACTTATGGCAATAAATAAGAAGTAGAACACCCAAGGAATAGAGGATGGGTCTGTAGTGCAACGTACGGTTATCCTGATGTTGAGGACGTCGATCGACGCGCCTTACCTACAACGACGTTCACGGTTTGTGAATGAAACGGCTGGGCCGGCTTTGGCCGAGAGCCCGTTTCGGGGACATGCATACCCCACGATTGAATTGGTTCTCACGGGGATGAAGGTGGTCAAACGGGTCAATATTTAGTGTCAGTTACATACAGAAAATAAACAATTTCTTCTCTGAAAACAATGTCCGAAAAGTTGCAGATCCGTTGCATCACGTGACTGTAGTTGCAACGCGTTGCAACACATTTCAATGAGATACAACACTGAAGTGTTGCATTGCATCACTGCAACCTGTTGTTGTAATATGGCATCCTAAATATGGCAAACTGCTTCAGCCATTCACTCACAGTCCAGAAGTAATATAACTAATGATTATGGGTCAATTTGTCCATGGTATATATAATATATATAAAGAAATGAATTAAAAGCTTCTAAGTGCAGGGAAAGGGGGGAGATGATTCATGAAAGTTTATAGGTAGTAGAACAGGTGGTGGCACATGTGGTGTAATGAGTAGTTCCGGAGTCAGGTTTTGGTTGATTATTGATTGAATAAAACTCATTATTGGCATTGTTGAAATTCTTGGACTTATTTTTTTTAACTCCCACATTAAAACGCAATGGGAAGTTACCACCACTTGGCAACCACATCACCATGTCAAACTCAAGCCACATCTTGGATTGGTCAGATGGTCATCTGGGGGAGGACTCCAGGGCACACATTAGCCGGCTACTGTCATATCCTGGAATCCTGACCCCACACTCTCCCACCTCACTACACCTTCCTAACAACCTCACCATCCCCTGCACCATTTCTCCTTATGTTTTTACCCCACTTCCACCCCTACTGTCTCAGCTCCAGCCTGGACTTTGGCACACTCACCCTAAGCCACCTCCATCCCGGAAGTGCAGTCCCAAGCCGGAACCTCCGGCACCCCCAGAATGCTCCGACCTCCCAACGGACCTCTGACATCTTGTTATATACTTCTAAACCCTTCTTCTATCCATTTCATTTATTGGAGTCACCCAACATTTCTCGGATAGGTAACTTGTCAGAGTACAGCCTGGTTAAGTCCGGACTGCTTACACACAACTGATGACACACTTGCCCCAGACCGACATTACCTGCACAGCCTGATCATCATCCCTGGACTGGCACAGACATTTGTTATATTTCCTTCTGTAGAGCAGCCCCGCTTTGCCGGGCATACTGACTTTATCATTCCCTGGGTAGCGAGTGAGGAAGATAACTTTCTTCTCTCACTTCCCCTCGCTGCTCAGCTGGAATCCCTATTGCAATCTGCTTTACTGGGTTCCCCCATTGAGACTGACCCTGTCCCCCTCGGCCTCAGCTCCAGCGAAGGCTCAGGATCCCTCAACTTAGAGTCCGAGCAGCTCGGTACCCTGACATAACTCCGGCTTCGGAGCTACCTGCATCCTCCATTGACTCTGCCCTCATCATCTTAATTAGTCATCTTCTGTCATATCCATCCACGGCCATCATCCTTCACTACCTCCGGTCCCTCTGGACTACCTCCGCTCCTTCTTCACTAACCTCAGAGCTCCCATATTCCGCAATCACCTCTGCTTCCCTCGATGGTCACCACCCCCTCTTTTCAATATATTACTTATGCCTCCCTAAGTACGGAGCCCCGAAGGCTTCCGGACAGCTCTGACGTCCGCTAGCGCACTCCCACCTCCACTGGGCAATTCACTTGCTTGCCCTGCAAGCCCACCTTTGGGCCTATCCCTCCTTTCTGTTTCTGGGTTATCGCCTACCATTCCGCTAACCCCGTAACCTGACCTGTTGGTAATATTCAATCAGCTAATGTTTAACTCCATTAGCTCCACTCCACTTGGCCCCACCATTTACAGGCCTGCCCTCGCTGTAACTATATATACTCAACTTGTACATAGGTTACACCTCAGTAATAAAATCGACTAGAGTTGATCCCCCTTTAGTTCTTGTTGCCAATAAGTAAATTAGGGCATGGACATGTAACTTGGCACAGCGCTCCTGGCTTGAGTTGCTGAAGCCGAAGCCCTCCATCACGGAGACAATCCTTTGTCTCGATCTGGTCTCTGACAGTATTTTATTACTCCCTGACTAGTACACGTCTTGTATGGCACCCAAAGCCCCTTGCACTCGTTCGCAACTATGCACATTAGTTCCCAACTCTGCCTCACCATCCCCTGAACCCTCGCAGCCTGGTCCTAGTTGTCTGGCGAGAAACCCAGTTGAGTTTTGCAGCTTCTCTAATCTAGAAACCCCTCTCCCGTCGACTCCAATCATGTGTCCCGTTAGAAATCAATCACCAGTTGCAGATTCCGACTTCGGAGACACCATGGAACAGCCCATAGACCCAGTTCACTTCTTTGGACTCGGTTCCGAGGTCCCTGATTTCGTTGACCCTCCTCCTGCTGATCCTCCCATCCCCACTGTCCCAACCACCAACGATGCCGAATCCATCCCCAACGTGGCTATTACACAACTAGCCCAAGCCATCACCAGTTTGGCTCATCACACTGGACATCCACCACGTCCACCATCCTCCGCTCTCCAGACCAAGGTCCGTGAGCTTGAACAGTTCAACGGTAAAGATCCCTGAGAACTCCGAGTATTTCTGGTCCAATGTGAACTGAATTTCCAGGACCGTCCCCTCGCTTTTGCTAGTGACCATGCCAAGGTCATCTTCGTGCAGTCCTACCTCAAGGGAATGGCCCTCAATTGGTTCGAGCCGGATCTATTATTCGATCAAAATTCTACGCTTCGTCCGTGATGGATGAATAACT